TAGTGCTTAACTAGATTTCAAATGTTATAAGGAGGACTTCCTGTTGAGTCTAAGCTGCAGCCAAATGAGATATGCTAAGGAGTTTCAGAAAATAAATCAACTTTAATATAGACTGAAGTCAGAGAGCAGTGGGGATAAATCAAGAAAGTGATGACTTCAGAAAATGACCAAGTTTCATTGAAGCAGTGTTTGGCAGTTTTGGGGGTAAAAAGTAAAACCAGTAAAATCAAACAAAAATTTTTTTCCACCTCACAAGTCCATCAACAGTATTTATTTTTTTGTTTATTATTTCTACCGTGTTTCCCCGAAAGTAAGACAACCCCCCAAAATAAGACCTACTTACAGTTTTGCCTCTGGCTGAAATATAAGGCATCCCCCGAAAATAAGACCTCCCAGAACATAAGGCCTCCCTGATAGTAAAGCCCCCTGAAACTACCGTAACTCTGGACTCTGGACCGTAGAGGTGGGCGCCGCCACGCAGCTCACTGTTGGCCGCAGCGCAGCCGGAGCAGACAGGAAGAACAAGTAAATATACCATAGATTATGAATAAATGTACCATAGATTGTTGTACATGGAAATAATGGTAGTAACAAGAAATTCTTGATACTGTAGGATTCACAGTTTGTCTGGTTATGCTGGTTTGTGATGACAACTACTACCTTACTGTACACAGGTAATACATTTCCTTTTTGTTGTTCAACAATTATGTGTACCATATTCTTCATGGAAAAATAAGACATCCCCTGAAAATAAGACCTAGCGTATCTTTGGGAGCAAAAATTAATATAAGACATTGTCTTATTTTCAGGGAACAGGGTAACTATAGTGTGACTGAAAGTTTACAGAGTAAGCTAGTTTTCCACTGAACAATTTATACACGTTTTGTTTTGTGGCATTGATTGTAAACAATTGTAATTGTAATTAATTGATTGTAATGTATTAGCATTCTTGCCCTATCTTGATGGTTATCCTGTCTCCATTCATCCTTCATTCTGGCCCCTTCCTGCCTTTGAAGCTTTTTTTTCCTTCCTGAGCTTTGCTTTGGGGCAAATGCAGCCCTTTCAGGTTTGTTTTGTATTGTTGATTGTTTTGAAGAGTATATTCCTTCCTGGTATTATTACTGTGAGAACGACAGGGCTTTCTGCTCCCATAAACAGTTACACTCTTGGAAAACCCACACGGGTAGTTCTACCTTGCTTGGTAGGGTTGCTATGAGTTGGCATCCACTAGATGACTGAATAAGTGAGTGAGTGGTGTTATCATTCACTTTATAAACCTTTATGCTGATCCAAAGTTGATTTCCTAGCGTGGGTTCAATTCCGGGTTGAAGGTGTGTGGTTCTTTTTTTTTTTTCCTCATGATTTTGAATTTTGTTTTACTTAAAAAAAATTCCTCTCTGTCCAGAACCTTCTATTGTGGTCTTCATCACAGTGTTTGGTAGTGGTAATAGCCTGGCACCATCTAGTACTTCGGGTCTTGGATAGTGGATGCTGTGGTTCTAGTGTTCCATCAGTGCTTTGGACTAATTGTTTCTTTAAGTCTTTGCTTTTCTTCACTCTTGTTCTCTCTAAATGAGAAATGTCCAAGGGTTGCATCTTAGGTTAACTAAGAAAAATTGATATTTTTAAATGAATAATGAGCACAAACGATAGTCACAGAAACATTTAAAAATATATTTCTAATCATGCTCCCACAGATATTATGAAAATAATACATATGTATCATGTTAAAGAACATGGAAAAATCCAAAATGTATTTTGGTAGATGCCGATTGTTTTTCTGTCTTTTAATGGGTTACAAAATGGAGTTAAAAAGAGTTAGCATCTTCAAAAGCATTGACGTCATGAAGCGTTTTTAGTAGGTACACGTTTGTAAGAAATAATAGATTTGGGAGAATATATAGCCAAGTGATAAAGCAAATACAGAGGGTGCCCGGAAAATACAGCTATTGTCTCCTGACTGCCAACTGTTTATAAGAGAACCATTTGTCTGAAAAGTTAATTTGCAAGTAAGTTAAATGCAGCCTATTCAGTTGCCTAAAGTGCTGCCACTTGGACCTCAGGTTTCCCTTCCCACCAAGGATTCCAATCCAGATGGTATGGCGACAAATGGTAGATCTTACTGCCTGGGAGACAGTGCTGCGGGAGGCTGGAAGCTCTGGATCACATTTATGTCGGTGGTGACATGTGGAAGGACTAATCATTCAGGAAAGGACAGCATTGGTTTTGTAACTAAATACCCACAAACCCAAATGAACAGGTCTTGCCTTGGCTTTTCATTCGACTCTGAGGATTGCAGCCAACATGTACCAGTAGGCCCCCAGGACTCCTTTAATTCTACTCGGAAGGAATAATTAAGATGTGGTGCACTCGGTCCAGAAAGCCTGAGAAATTACACTGTTACCCAACTTACCACCTCTCCCCGCCTCCATTTCCACCCTAGCAGGTCAACAGGTTCTCGGTCAGAAAATCACAGTATAGGCACCGGATCTGTCACCGCAACACTGGAGAACTAGCAGCCCTGGTTTCGTAGGCCACACAGTCTAATAGGAGGTTATATTACACGTAGTACTTGCATCCATCCATTGAGCTGCCTTCTAAGTCAAGGCTTTCTTATGTGTGAAGTCAAAGCATGGTTCCAGAAGAACTGCACAGCTACTAACAATAGGAAACACCTTCCAGTCCATGAATGCAGGTTGAACTCAGACCAAGAAACACAGGGCTGAGTAACGACAGGACCTTGTCTGAGGATTCTTAACTCCTGGATCCCCGCTCAAGCCAGGAGAACACGTGGGATCTTATGGCCCAGAGGTGGTGGCTTGCCACCTGCGCACATTGTACACATACGCCTTTCTGGATGTCTTGGTTCACAAGACCAGGGTAGGCCTGAGACACGATTTCAATAGAGAGGCTTTGATTCAAGCCCCTTTTAAAAGAAAACGCTTGTACTTGGGTAATGGAGAAATAATTATCTTTACGAGAGAAAGGAGCTACTCATTAATTCGTTTCCCTAACTCATCACAGGATCTATATTCTGAAATATAAATATTCTGATAGTAAACTCCTTAGTAAGTTGTGTTTTATTAACCTACTTTTATTTAATATCAGCTAGAATATATTGAACTTTGAAATACATTTTTGGTACAATTGCTGTTGCAGAATCAGGCCATTTACTGCAATTGTCTTTTTGAGATAATTAAACATTTCTATCATTAAATACATCTACATATGTACCCATGCAGATATGTTTTCCTCTCAATAGGTAATAAAGTCATTTATTTGAGATTTCTTCAAACATGTTCTTTTCCCAAATCAAATCCCAGCTCTGTGAAGGTATATATTGTGTGAGTATTGGACCTGCCTGTGTCTTTAGACACCCAGTCCTGAAGAGTTTAGCTCTGTCTAGCATCGTTTAAAGGAGACAGGAATTAAAAATGGTTTACTTTAATAGTTATCCTCAGAAGATCAGTACATAGAATCCTAAACTACCGGAAAGGACGATGAGAAAGGAATTCCACTTTCTGACTTGTACTAGAAATACTCCAGCAACTATAGCTACCTCCCTCCCCTCTTCATGGTGCAAACCACTCACTGCCATCATGTGGATGCCCATCACCATGGCCCTATAGGACAGGAGAGGACTGCTCCTGTGAGTTTCAGAGACTGTACTTGTTTATGAGAGCAGCTTTCTCCCAGGGAGCTGCTGACTTTGCAAAGTGAAGCCCAGTGTGTAACCAGGAGGCCACCCAGGCTCTATCCCCTCTATGGTAGGACTAACATATTGAAAAGTTTTTAATCCTGTAGACATTGTGAACTTGTTTGGGATAAAGAAGTGTAGAGATAAAGGAGCCATGGTCTTCAGAATTTGAATGTGTAGTTAACAACTTTTTTCTTTGCTGAACTATGTTAATCATCTAACATATAACATTTGGGTTTAAGCGTTCCATGGAATATTTCTAACTACTCATTTCTATGTATATTTGAAAGAGGAAAACAGCCAGCCATGAAGTTACTGATAACTTGCTTAAAGGATTTGGGGAGTCTCTTAGATATTGCACATTACCTTGCCTTTTAGGTAAAAATCACTGCCTTAAATGTGATGCATGTACAGGGCTCTTATTTCCAGAAATATATGAATATATGACACAGTTTCAATATCAGAGCATTTTATTCAGCCTCTGAAACAAACACGCTCTTCTAGTTAGGTAACAAAGGAATATAGAGCTTTAAGTGTGGAAGGAGCTGCTGGTTCATTCAGTTTCCTAACCCATCCCAGAATCTATATTCTACAAAGAGTACAGTAAACTGTCTAGTAAGGTGAGTTTTATTAGTCTGATTTTATTTAATATCAAATAAAATACATTCCATCAGAAGGTGACCATTTCCAATTTCAGCCACCGAACTCCTGCACTGTCCGTCAGAGCTCTGGAAAACTAACAAAGGAAAAACACTCTCTCACTTTTACGGATCTGTGGTGAAGAAGCTGTTGAAATGTAGACAAGTGGTTTAACGCCTCTGTGCCTTGATTTCCTCGGTGGCAGAAAGAAGAATTGCGTTTGTGGATTTATTTTGGTCCTAACATCTGCAAGGATTGATTGTGTACTCTGCTTACTGGCCTTTATATCCAGACAGGCGAATAGAACCAATTTTGTGCTTTAGATGTTTACATCTTTCTTTGACTTTGAAATACAGTTTTTGGTATAATAGCTATTGCAGAAGTAGGCCATTTACTGCAATTGGCTTTTTGAGATCATTAACATTTTCTATCAATAAATACATATACATATGTACCCATGCAGATATGCTTTCCTCTCAATAGATAAAATCATTTGTTTATTTGAGACTTCTCCAAATGTTTTTTTTCCCTAATAAAATCTAAGCTCAAACACTACCACAATTCAGAGACTTTTGGAAAAGTATTCCATGGGTTACTATTTGAGAGAGAAAGCATAAAGTAGACTTAGCGAAGCCTGTCTCCCACAGCCCCGCAGCATTCTTACCTCCAGCGGAGCAACGTTTGGCTGGCACACCAAGTGGCCCTGATGCTCATGCAGAAGTGACACTCCTCTTCCTCCACCGCACGTGTCACACTGCACACCTCACAACTCTGGCAGAAGACTGCTTTTCAGCAAGAAAAATGATGCAAGACTGGACTGACTTTATGCTCGACCGGGAAGCAAATAATGAAAGCACATTAGAAGTTTTGCAACCCAAAGCATTTTAACTGCTATGGACGTTGACCTAGTCAATAGGACTGAAATAAGCCTGCGTCCCAACTCCACAGTCACATTAAGCTTCAACCAGTTGCTTTTTGGCAAGGGGGACACATTATAAGTCAGAACTCTCTGTTTCTTTAAGCAGAAGCATATTTGTTACTTTTAAGAATTAAAATGTCAGGGAGAGCATACCAGTCTGTGTGATCCAAGAGTTGTAAATTATGACCCAAATTCGAAGGCGGGGACAGTATCAAAGCTTAAATTGCAGATGGCTTTGGATGACAGTGGAAGCCCAAAAGCCACTTGCAGAGTCCCCATATGGATGAAATCTCTGGTCAATTCCCTCTGACCACAGTCCAGCCTTGCTATCATACAAAGAGCATTGTAACGTCAATTACGGCAGATGTAATTAGGTTAAAATGCAATCCTCTTTCCTTTGATCTTCCGTTTTTCATATTTTCTGTGATCTCTTCGAAAGAGGATTTCTGTGTTTTGTCTCATCATTGTTGTTGGATTGTGTGTGTGTGTGTGTGTGTGTGTTTCTTTACTTTGTCTGATTTTATTTTGCTCTTTGACTTTCTGTATAGGAAATCCAGGATGGGTAGATCTATAGAGACAGTAACTGGATAGGGGCATGGCAAGGGAGTATGGGGGGAAATGGGGAGCTAACCATGAGCATGAGGAGAAAATATTCTGAAATCTACTCTGGTGGTGATTGCACCAATCTTATTATGATTGAATGATTAAATTGTATGATATGTGAATTATATGCCAATGAAACTGTTTTTAAAAAGTCAGAGTTGATCATTTGTCTTCCACTTTGATTTTTTTGTACTTTTTTTTGTTCACATTTTAAAGACACTTTTATCTTTTATAGCAGTTTCATATTCACAAAAAACGTGTACAAAAGTGCAGAGTTCCCGTATGTCCCTTCTCTCTGCTCACAGTTCTTATGTCCATCTGCCATTAGAGCAGTGCAGTTGATACGATGCGATTCATACTTCACATTAGGGTTCCTTCTTCGTGTTGATAGTGCAGTGGGTTTTGATAAATATATAATGTAACGTATCCACTATTATATTATGCAAAATAAGATCATTTTCCTTGAATGTACTTTCACATTGTCCACACCCTGGAGCCCCTGGAGCCGTTGTCCTTTTCTACTCTCTCTGTAGGTTTGCCTTTTCCAGACGTCATTCGTTAGAATCATACTGTGTGAGTCTGGGTACTTCAGAGAAACAAATCCACAGAAATTCATGTATAAGAGAGAGTTTTATATAAGGTTCAGTGCACATCAAGAAAATATCCCAACCCAGTGCTGCCCAAGCCCACAAGTCCAACATTAATCCATATGTCCAACACCAATCCACTAAGTTCTCCTCCATCTCACAAAACAGAGGCAATGATGCTGACTGCAGGAGGAAAGCTGAGTCAGTGAATGTGTAAGCATCTCAGCACTGGCAGGGGTCTCCACATGGGTGCTCCAGCACCCAGAGCTGCATCGGGGTAGGTCCATGTGGCTTCTCCTCCGGGATGTCTTGCAGAAAGTGAGCCTTGCTGGCTGAAGCAGGGAACTGGCTAAGGCAGCTGCACCCTGTTCCGACCATCAGAAAGCAAGAGACCCAAGAACTCAAAAGGCGAGGCTCATGGAGCCATTTATCTCTCCGCCCTTCAATTAACCCCACATGTGTTTATTGGCCAGGTTGGCACAATAAACTTTAACTATCTCACATACAGTATGTAATGTTTTCAGACTGATATAGTAATATGCATTTATTTTATCACAGAATAATATTTCCATGTATGGATGTACTACAATTGATCCATTCATCTACTAAAGGACAAATTGGTTGATTCAAATTTTGATCAATTTTAAATAAAATTGTGTTAGATCTCTGTGTGCGGGGGTGTACTGGATACTGTCATTGTTCTGTGAGCTGTGTTGTGCCACTATGTGTATGCTATGTTTTGTATCACAGCTTTGAAAAATCCCGTGTAACTCTCCAATTGCCTTTTCCTTCAGCTCTAAACACTGGTCTGAGTGGTCACAAAAGGAGAAGTAACAGCACAATTGGCTTCCATGCTTTCGGAGCACAGGGGATAGATTCAACCCGGTTAAAAAAATCTGTGTGCAGGTATTTTGGTGGATATGTGTTTCAATTCTTTTGAATAAATACCAGAAGTGTGATTTCTTTATGATAAATTTTTGTTTAAATTTTTAAGAAAGACTATACCATATTTACACAAGCAACAGATGCGATGTCTTGTTACTCCACATCCTTGTCAATATTAATTGTCATGTTTTGGATTTTAGTGTTATCTTATTGTTGTGTTGAGGTGTAATTCTCTAATGGTTCATAGCATGGAGCTTTATCATATGCCATCCTATAATCGGGTTTGATGATGTGCCTGATCAGACCTCTTGCCCATTTTTCAATGGGATCATTTTTGTTTTAACTGCTGACTTTTAAGACTTTCCATATCTTGTAAAGTCCTTTATCAGATACATATTTTGAAAATAACTTCTAGTCTGTGACTGTCTATTATTTTAGCTGTGTCTTTCACATAGCAAATATTTTAAATTTTAATGAATTCTAACTTACCCATTTTTTGACTTTTATCGACTATGCTTTTGGTGATGTATCCAAGAACCCATTTTAAACCCACTGTCACCTAGATTTCTCCTATATTCTCGAAGTTGTGTGGTTTTATATTTAACATTTAGATTTTCAATTTAATTTCATATAACTTTTTTGGTGGAGAAAAATGCAAGAGATTGGGTCTAGACTCAGGTTTTTGCTTGAAGATGTCCAGTTGTACCAGCCCCACTAGTTGAAAAGCTAGCCCTTCTCCATGGAGCTACCACCACTTCTTCATCAAACACCAGTTGCTTGTATTTGTGTGCATCTATTTCTGGGCTTCCCACGCATTCCATTGAGCTCTGTTTATTCTTCAACAATTACCATACTGTCTCGATCACTGAAGCTTTATAGTCTTTATAATACAATTGTTGGATATTCTGCATCTTTTGCCGTTCCATATAAACTTTAGGATCAGTTTGTCGATATCCATGGAACTTTGATATACAGTAGTATTAATCTATAGATCATGTTGTCATTTTGATTTTCATAAGGAAATTTTTTTCCATGATAATTTTGTTGCATTTTAGGGAAGCATAAGTGTCAGCATATGATTTTGTCCACATTTGATTATCAGAAGAATATTTCAGAGGTCAAGTTAATTTGCTTATAAGTTTACGTTGCAAATACTATTTGTAATCCGTATATACACCCTATTTCAGAAATCCATCGGGGTAGTTCTACTCTCTCCTCTAGAGTCACCGTGAATCATATTTGACCTGGTGACAGCGACATTTTGCGTTTTGAGTGAGGGCTTAACTGGCACTTGCTGAAAGTGAACAAGCATTTGAATTGACCCTTCATCATTATGAAATATTCTTCTGTATGCCATGTAATGTTCCTGCTTCTGAATTCTACCTCATCTGCTATTAATATAGTCACTCCAGCATTATGATTAATGCTTACAAAGTATATCATTTTCTCTATCTAATGTCAGTATAAAGTGCATTTTATCTTGTAGCATATAGTTGACACACACTTTTCAGGAAATCTACTCAAATACATCTTGCCTATTAATTGGGATACTCAGAACCTTTGTATTTAAGACTTTTTTCATATTCTTGTGTTTACGTGATTCTCCTTTGTCCCACTTCTTCTTTGTTCTTAACCCCTTTCCTCCGGTTCTGCTTTGGGTTCGCTAGGTTTCGGGAGAAAACCGTCATGGCCAAGCGGTTACGCACTGGGCTGCTAATCGCAAGGTCAGTAGTTAGGAACCACCGGCAACAGTGCAGGAGAAAGAGGTGGTTTCTACTCTTGTACAGTAACCGTCTTGGAACCCACAAGGGGCAGTTCTACCCCGCCCTGTAGGGTAGTGGAGAAGAAAGGACATTTTGCTGTTTGTTTGATCTCCACTATCAGTTGATCACTTGTCTGTCGGTTTTCCATACTGTAGCAGCTCATGTGTGGCTGCGGTGCTGGAAGCTATGTCACTGGTATTTCAAATGCCAGCAGGGTCCCCCAATGTGAGTAGTTTTCTGTGGCACTTCCAGACTAAGAACAGATAACTAAGAAGGATGTGACTGCTTGCTCTGGCGGAAGTAGCTGCTCAAAACTTTATGCATAGCTTGTAAACATTGTCAGGTACGGAAGGCTTAATAAAGGGAAACAAAACGGACATAGTGCCGGAAGCTGGGTCCCTCTGGTCAGAGGGTATTGGAGATGTGACTGAGGGGGAGCAGCTTCTCAGTGGGGTTGACCCTGGTGCAGGAAAGACCTGTCCCTGGAGAAGGACATCGTGCTTGGTAAAGTAGAGGGGCAGCAAAATAGAGCAAGGCTTTCAGTGGGATGGTTTTACACCGTGTCTGCCACCCGGGCCTCAGGCATGGGAACACCTGTGAGGATGGGCGGTGAGGGGACCCGCAGGGTTTCCTTCTACTGTGCACAGTCGCTGCAGGTTGGATCCTACTTGATGGCCCCTAACAGCAACAAAGGCAACCTCACTTTATTTTAAGTGCGTGTAGACACTTAATCCAGGCTAGTAGTTGCTCTCAGTTTACCAGAATCTACCTCAAGTAATATCTCCCATAAAGATGAAAGTATCTGACAACAATGTACTTCCAACTTCTTCAGTCTTTTCTTTCATGCTACTCTCCCTCCTTCTGCACTGTTCTAATCTCTCGAACCCACCGCTATTGACTTTATTTTAAACAATACAGTATGTATTTTTAAAATGAAAATTACTTGCTGTATTATATTAACCCATATGTTTAACTTTTTAACACATCTTATAT